GGGGGCTGGTTCCCAGAAAGGCCAAACTTTGATTAAAAGCTTGGAACTTTTCTGCCCTATCCCCTCCAGCCCCAGGAAAGGGAGGGAAGCTGGAGATTGGGTTAATTGCCATTGGTCAATGATTTAATCAGTTGTGCCTCTGTAAACCCTAGAGGACAGGATTAAGAGAGCTTCCAGATTGGTGATCACATCAGGGTACTGGGAGGTACACCAAGAGAGGACTTGGAGGCTCTCTGCCCCTCCCCCATATCTCACCCTGTGTCTCTCTTCCATTGGCTTTTCTTGAGTTGTTACCTTTAGAGTAAACCTGTAAGAGCAAGGAAGGTACTTTCCTGTTCTGTGAGTCGTTCTGGTGAATTATGGAACCAGAGGGAAGGGGTCATGAGAACCCTCAGTGCTGGTTGTTCAGATGTGTGGATGGCCTGGGACTCGAGATTGGCATCTGAAGTGGAGGCGGTCCTGCCAGCCTGAGCCCTTTGACTTGTGGGATCTGACACTAACTTCAGGTAGATCGTGTCAATTACACAGAATTGTGAGCCAGCCCATTGGGTGTCAGAGAGTTGGAGGAGTGCTGTTGGGAAAAAAACAGCATGTATTTGGTGTCCTGATAGGAAAAAAATCCCTTACCCCTTGTCCATCACCGCAGTGGACCCTCAAGCAACATGGTTTGAACTGCACAGGTCCACTTATATGTGGATTTTTTTTCAGTAGGCACCGTATAGTACTGTAAACATATTTTCTCTTCCTTAAGATTTTCTCAGTGACATTTTTTCTCTAGGCTTTTTCGTTACAAGACTACAATATATAACACATATAACATACAAAATACGTGTTAACTGTTTATGTTATCAGTAAGACTTCCGATCCGTAGTAGGCTCTGTGTAGTTAAGTCCTCAGAGGGTCAAAAGTTATATGTGGATTTTCAGCTATGTAGGGGGTCTGCACACCCTAACTCTACATTGTACAAGGGTACAGGGGTCAACAGCTGTGTGTGTGTGTGTGTGTGTGTGTGTGTGTGTGTGTGTGTTTGCGCACGCATGCGCGCGCACACTTATTGTATGAAAACATCGAGGGCCAAGCCCCGGAAGATGCAGAGTCAATATGGTTCTCCCTTCTCTGTTCTTTCCTGCCAACTGTGACAGGTTTCTGGCCACACAGTGCACGCCTGTTGCAGAACAGTATGGGAATTGACTTAAATTCTTGGACCATTCTAGATGACTGATGTACTGTCAAATAGATACATGCAAACATAACAGGGAAACCTCCATATAGGGTTTCTTCAAAGAATAAGGCTCTGTCCTCCTCTGCTGTGTAATTGCCAAACCAAGAAGGGGTTATATAGTTTCAGGCTCAATTTCACATTGCTCAGGAGGGACTGGGTAAATACATTTTAGAAAGAATACAGAGCAGCTCATATAATCTGGAGGCTTTCGTTTGAGGGTCCTTCCGGGGATAGAACGTCTCATGCATTCGTTCCTTGTACAGAGAGTTACGGAGCTTCCAGGCTCTGTGCCAGGCTCCTTGGTGCACAAGACAAAAGGTTCTCATTTCACTCTGTTCCTATTTCTTGGACAAATGGTGTTAGACAACTTTTTATTCATTCAACTTGAGATTCAGAGTCAATCATGCAGGTAGACTATCAGGAGGTATTTAAACAAGATACCATCTCTGCCCTCAAGGACCTTGCAGGCCTGTTTGTTCATTAATCAGGCATTCATTCAAAAAGTGTGCACTGAGCCAGGTCAGTGGTAGGGAAACAGAGGACCGGGAGCGCACAGTTAGTCCCTGAAGGGCTGTGAGTCTCAGCCTGGAGGGCGAACACACAGTAACCACTTAGAGGGAGTATAGGGTGGGGAGAGACAAGAACGAGCTCTGCCCACGGCACTGGGAGCGCAGAGGCAAGGGGAGTACAGAAAGTGGGTTTTCCTAACTTAGCTCTGAGGAGGTGAGGCTCTTGTCCTGACTTTCTAGTTGGGGCTGGAGAAAAGGGATGGCTTGGAAAGGAGGATGCGGCAGGAGTTCCAACCCGAGGGAAGATGGCAGTGTCCAAGCCTGCAGGTGCTGTATTTTGCTCTCGCTGTCGGAGGTGGTGGTAGATGGACTGGAAGGTAGCAAAACGCGGCACCTGCATGCCAGGAACTAAATCTTGGTAATCCCGGCACAGTAGTAGTTCAATGAAATGGGCAACTGAGAAACAAGTAAGTAATACAGTGGACACCACAAATGAGAAGGGTGTCAAGGAGCAATTAACACTGGGACATTGATAAGTTACTTAGAAAAACAATAGAGTCTTACTCCTCGTGATTTTTAGTCAGAGTATGGGAGCTTAGAACTTAGAGCAATGAAGGTTTCCCTCTGTGAATTAAAATTTAAGATCAACACTAAAGTGTCTTACCTACTCTAACACCTCGTTGAATATATTGATCCTGTAAGCAGGGCTGTCGTCCTGGGCCCCCTATTCACAAGGGCCCTGCGTTTGGTCCTAATGTTCTCTTGGTGCCCTCTTGAAATTCTGAATTTTTGAACATGGGGCTGTGTTTTCATTTTGCACCGAGCCCTGATAATTAGGTAGCAGTCCCGCCCGTGAGACTGGTCATCTACAGAAACCAAGTCACAGAGCCAAGCTTTAAAGAAGTCCATGTCCTCATGCTTTCTGGGAAGTTGGAGCCAACAGGATTAAAGTGTCTGGGCCCCATGAGCAGGACCATCTGTATGATGTGTGTGGAAGGCTCAAGCTGTCCCAGACTGATGCCACCTAACATTCGTTTTATTAGACAAATAATCTCTTCCTCCCAGCTCTTTCTCAGCAGGCAACCCTTTAATTGTGACTTGGCTTCATGCATGGTCTTCCTGCGGGGAGAGAGCTGGTCATGCTGACTCCATACTTGATTCAGGGAGTTAGTTACTAAATTGGCATTCTGGTGATATTCCTCAGTGAGGTTCTTTAGTGGGATCCTGCCCGTGAGAGACAGGTCCCCTTCTGCTCGGTTCTGAGCCTGACGGCTGAAGTCCAGCCTTGATGCTGGTGAATTCACCAGAGCTGAGGGCACAGTAGGAGTTAAGAACAAGGGCTCTGGGTTCAGCCAGACCCTGCTGGGATCAGATATTGGTCCTGTCCTCCTAGAGTGTGTGATCTGGGCCAAGATACGTAAACTCTCTCTGCCCTAGCCTTTCATCTGTCAGGTACTGAAAGGAAACCTGTCTGTCTTAGGGTTGTTGTGAGACTGAATGAGGAAATAGACAGTAGGTCAGTGTTTCTCACCCTCAGCACTGTGGACATTTTGAGCCGGTGGTCATAGGTTGCCGGGACGGGAGCTGCCCCCTGGCGTTGTAGGATGTTTGCCAGAATCGTTGACGGCCCTCAGTAACCAGTGGCTTCCGCGTCAGTCCCACAGCTGTAACAATTGAAATGTCCTCAGATGTTGTCAGTTGTCCCCTGGGGGTCAAAATTGGCCCTGGTTAAGAGTCCCTCACTCACTGGCCAGGAGTGTGTGTGGATACACAGGACTGTGCGTGGAGTGTGTAGATAGAGCAGCGCCTGGAGGAAAGAAAGCTAATGTCAGGTTTTATAATCATAATGGCAGTACTAGTACTAATGATAGTACTCTTCGTGCCATCCTGAGGCTTCTGGAAAGACATTTGTCAGCTTGTCGCTGATCCTCTGTTCCTTAAATTTCTACATCCCTGGCAGAGTACAGTCCATATGAATTAAAGGGTAAATGTTAAAAAAAAAAAATCTACTTTTAAAAAAATGAAAGAGAAGTAATCTTTAGATTTGCAAACAAAGAAGGAGCTTCCTAGCTCAAAACCAGTGGTGTTTTTGTGATGTTTACTTTTGAGTTTAAATCATATTGGGGAATTTTCTTCCTTGATCTCATTGCATTAAAAATGAGCATGTATAACCTATAACCACTCGGTAGTTATAGTGAAAAAGGAAACTGGATAAAATGATCATGAGAAATACAACAAAGTACTGTTAGGAAACTGGTATAAACCAAAAAGAAAATCAGATGCATACCGAGATTCCTCACAAAGACAAAGACATATAGTCAGTTTATAAACAGTGGAACATAGTTCAAATTCAAAATAATTTTTTAAAATTTCAATAATTTTTTTCATCTAAATTGGCAAAGATTTAAGCAGTAACATCCATTTCTGTTGTCTAATTTAGAGGAATCTTTTTACACATTCTTTGTAGGACAGTGGGTGGGTGTAGTCCTTCTAGAAGGACACTTGGTAGTAAGTATGCCTTAAAACTTGTCATATCTGTTAGCCCCCAAAAATAACATTTGGAAGTAATTCCTATAGCATAATCTGAAATGTAGACAAATATTTATGCATGAAGATGTTTATTGCAAGCTTATTTTAATAGAAGCCAGCCAAGAGTCTAGCATTAAGGGAATGGTTAATTCCAGCTTATGGTAAACAATCAGCAGTCCTTAAAACAATTTTTGCAAAGTGTTTCTAATGGCACGTGAATTTCTTACACAGTGTTAAATTAAAAAAGCAAGTTTTAACAATGCATATGCTGTATGAAATCCACTCAAAATAAAGACCAGGAAGGAATATGAACACATTTAACCTATTTGCTCTTGGAAGATTGGCTTAGGGATACTTTATGAAAGGTACTCATAACTATGATTAAATTGATCATTTCATAGCAAACTTAGGCTTTTTGGTCCGTTCTTGAAGTAATTTTTAGATGTCATGCATTTCTATAGCTTAGAAACGAAGGTGGAGGAGGTGAAGCTATGTTTCTCTGAATAACAGAAAGCAGAAAGCAATTGTCGTTGTCTTAAAGTGCAGCTTTATATTTTAAATAAAGTCATTATAAATTCCAATAGGGAATCATCTTTTGAGCGTAGATGCCTTGCCCTGGATGAAATGAATTAATGTTTTATATTATGGTTCTCTTTTTGTTTATCAATTTTTAAGGTGTATTTATTTTAGTATATTTCTTGATGGAATTATCTTTTAAATGTCCATTTTTATTTTTATAGTATGTGCAGAAGCTTATAATCCTGATGAAGAAGAAGATGATGCAGAGTCCAGGGTATGTAAATTCCTTAATAAATTAATTTTAAATTATACTCCCGTATCAGATCAGGAATATGATTTTAGAAAGAGGTTAACAAGCATATAGATTGACAAGAAGCATAATGGACTATTTTGACTGTTTCTTTTCTAGTCTTCTCTCTGATAGCTTACTTCTACTTCAAGTTCTATAGAATTACTTTTCTCCAAAGAGAAAGATCTTGTTCTTTGGATAAAAGGAAAGATGAACATAAAAACTCACTGTAGTTGTGGTTTTATTTCTTTTACAAAAATACAGCCTGGTGATGGAAAATGTTTTTAGCTATCTTTCTCGTAGCATTAATGCTATTTTTCTGACAGTGTTTCTAGTAAAGAAAAATACTAGGGAAAGCCTTCTTTCTGTTCCTACCAATTTATAACAACAGAAGCTTATTCTGAAACAAACATACAAAAATCACAGTAGAATTATATCTAAAGTACCAGTATAAAAGTTCTTACTCTTTGATATCTATGAATCTAATTGTTTGCTGAGAAACTGATTTCTTGAAGGTCGTAATGTTTTTGTAAGAATTTGTCCAGTGTTGTTTGAAGCAGTTTTTAAACTGTGTCCTCCCTTCACCTATTATTTATTTAGTAAAAAGTAAACTAAATAAGAGATAACTGTGCCTGAAAATGGAAAGTAATAATTTACCTTTTTTTTTTTTTTTTTTTTTTTTTGAGTACTTTCTTGGCAAAAGCTCCTGTTTTCTGTTTGGACTCAAATGATAAACAAAAATTTATTTCTGTAGCTCTGACAAATACTTAAATAAGATTGAGTTGTTTTTTTTTTTTTTTAAAGATTTTATTTATTTATTTATTTGACAGAGAGAGAGAGATCACAAGTAGACAGAGAGGCAGGCAGAGAGAGAGAGAGGGAAGCAGGCTCCCTGCTGAGCAGAGAGCCCTATGCGGGACTCAATCCCAGGACCCTGAGATCGTGACCTGAGCCGAAGGCAGCGGCTTAACCCACTGAGCCACCCAGGCGCCCCAATAAGATTGAGTTTTAATATGGAAAAGCAAATACTGCATCCCTAAGTCATTACATCATGAAGCTCCCTGAAATTGATGTAAAATCCAGTGGTAGAAAGATCAGGAGTCTTATCTTGAAGGTCTGGAAGGAAATCCCATTTCAATTCCCATACCCGTGGGGATTCCCACCAGCAGTGTGGGGGGAGCTCACTGTTTGCTACCAGAACATAAATTAATTTGATAATGTCTATAAATTCTGGCCTGAAATTATGTTCCTTAGGATTAAGATTTTACTAACGTATAGCATGCTGTTAGTACTTGGTGTAGTTGTAAAAACTAGGCTGTCCCCATTGTGTTTTTGATTTATGTATCTAGCAGAAACAATAATGGGAGACTTTGAAGAGTACATACATCCTTTATATTTGCGTATTAAGGTATACATGATAAAACTTAGTAATTGAGATGTATGATGGGCTGGTTTAATTTAGTGAGAATCTAAATTGAATTACATCTCAAAAGTACGGTTTAAAAACAATATACCAGGGACGCCTGGGTGGCTCAGCGGGTTAAAGCCTCTGCCTTCGGCTCAGGTCATGATCCCAGGGTCCTGGGATCGAGCCCCACATCAGGCTCTCTGCTCAGCAGGGAGCCTGCTTCCCTTCCTCTCTCTGCCTGCCTCTCTGCCTGCCTGTGATCTCTGTCTGTCAAATAAATAAATAAAAATCTTTAAAAACAAACAAACAAACAAAAAAAACCAACAATATACCATATCTCCTAGACTCAGACTATTAGCTACCATTTTGATCAATGTGATAGGTAAAGTGATTGGCTGGGTCACTCCAGTTAATTCCTAACTGTCTTGTTGGGGAGGTGGTACTTGTTAAGATTCATTTGGCTATGTCAAAGAACCCAATCACATTGAGATAAAAATTTAAAAAAAGAAAATACTGAAGAAAATTCTTAGGCGTATGCTTAGAAATCTTATAGAATTCCAGAAAGAATTGGGAAAAAAACAAAATAACCCAAGCTGTGGCTGGTGGGCCAGAGCAAGCCCACCTCTGGGGACTTTCCATAGCCATGGTGCAGTACTTAGAGTGTTGTCTGTCTTAGAAAGACACTTGGCTGCCAATGGTTCTTCATGCTGGGACTCTCAGCTGGAAGTCTCAGTTTCCCTGGGAGAGTTTCTCATGGACCCAGCTTTGGGAGTACCAGGGACAAGGGCAACCTTTGGCTACCAGACACCACTTTTAAATGAAGGCAGTTCCTAGAGAAGGATGAATCTTTCTGAGCTGGGCATTCACTGCGGGAGCTGTCCCCTCTAACACCCTCCATGTTACTTTTAATAGTTTTTTTCCCAATTTATTTATTTTAGTTATTAAGTGCTTCAGGTTCTCCATTAGTTTGACAGAACAGTCAAACTAACAGTCTAAACATGTTACTAAAAACTGCACTGTTTTTTTGGTCATAGATACTACACGGCAAATTGCACCTAGCCCTTGGAAATTATTCTTACAGATTTCAGAATTAATTGGCTCTAAGCATATATTGGAAAATGTCTGTAAGGAAAACATATATTTTGATAAAGTGCCATTTCATTTGAACATTTTGTATTTCACAGACCATGTATCAAATCCTTAAGTCTCAGATTAGTATAAATAAGTATTCTTTGATACGAATTCGAAGAAAATTTTAAATACTTAAGATGGATTTTGGGGGCGCCTGGGTGGCTCAGTGGGTTAAGCCTCTGCCTTCCGCTCAGGTCATGGTCTCCGGGTCCTGGGATTGAGCCACGCATCATGCTCTCTGCTCAGTAGGGAGCCTGCTTCCCCCCTCTCTCTCTGCCTGCCTCTCTGCCTACTTGTGATCTCTCTCTCTGTCAAATAAATAAATAAAATCTTAAAAAAAAAAAAAGATGGATTTTGGGAAAATCACAAATTAGATTTTACCTTTAATAAATGAAGATATAGGGGCACCTGGGTGGCTCAGTGGGTTAAGCCGCTGCCTTTGGCTCAGGTCATGATCCCAGGTCCTGGGTTCGAGCCCCACATCGGGCTTTCTGCTCAGCAGGGAGCCTGCTTCCTCCTCTCTCTCTGCCTGCCTCTCTGCCTACTTGTGATTTCTCTCTGTCAAATAAATAAATAAAATCTTTAAAAAAAAAATAAATGAAGATATAGGGGTGCCTGGCTGTGTCAGTCAGTGGAGCATGCAACTTTCCATCTCGGGTTTGTGAGTTCAAGCCTTGTGTTGAGTGTAGAGATTACTTTAAAAAAATAAATGAAAATATAAGAATTATATATATACATCTAACATGTAGCTCTTCTGGTAGAGAAGAGCTGGTAATTTTAAGAACGGGTCATTTCTTTGTTATGTTCCTCAAGATTTTGGGGGAGTGCCTTCTGTATGCCTGGCTGGGTGCTAGGAATTTCAGGGGTGAGTACTGTGGGAAAAGTCCCTGCCATCTTGGGGCACAGAGACTAATAGCAGAATTAAACAACAAGCCAGTAAATTAATGAACAGTTACAAGATATGAAGTGCCCAAAGGATGATAAAATAAAACCATACCCCACATCGACAGGGTCCCTAATTAGATGGACTGGTTGCAAGATGTCTCCTTGAGGTGGGACCAGAAGGTGGCGAAGGGGAACCTTGCCACAAAGCCCAGGAGCCGGTTTCACTTGGCCCCAGTGCCCCAGCTTGGGAGCCCTTGGTAGTTCTGAGCGCAGGCAGGTGTGGCTGCGGACTGGGTGGCTGAGGTGATGGTGGCGAAGGAAGGATGGGCATTTAATGCACAGTAAATGCAATGGAATCCATCCAGGTGTTCTGATTTGAATTTTTTAAAGGTTACCTTCAGCTCTATGTGGACAAATAGGAAACTATCTTGTACAGATATGCCTTGCTTAGCAGAATAGATTTGCAGTGTTTTCTTTGGAGAAAATGTCTATATAAATTTTATATATGAATTGGTTTTCTAATTTTTTTAAATGAAAGACACCAGAGCTTTAGAGCAGGAGCTGGCAAACTTTTTCTGTAAACCTTTTTTTTTTTAACTGAAAAATTTGCTCTTTCTAGGTAATAAATATTTTAGTCTTTGAGGGGCTGTACAGTTTCTGTCCAAGCTACTTGCTCTGCTGTTGTAGCTTGAAAACAGCCATGGATAATGCATAAATGGATGAATGTGGCTGTGTTCTGTTAAAACTTTATTTCTGGGGGCACCTGGCTGGCTCGTTCGGTGGCATGTGCAACTCTTGATCTCGGGGTCATGAGCTCAAGCCTCATATTGGGTGTAGAGCTTACTTTAAAAAGAAAGAAAGAAAGAAAGAAAACCAAAATCAAAAACCCAAAAAACTTTATTATAGACACTTGAATTTGAATTTATTATTTTCACATGTCAAGAAGTATTAATTCTTCTGCTTTTTTTCTCCAAATCGTTCTTAGCTTAAGGGCCATGCAAAAAGAAACTTGTCCTTCAGGCCACAGTTTGCTGACCCTGGTTTAGACCATAAATACTATAGCCAACCTGGCTGGGATGAATCCTAGCTCTACAGCTCTGAACTTTCTGACACTGAAGAAATGACTTGGGCAAGTTTGTTAACATATGAGATCATGCAGGATTTTTCTTCCTGTCTGACTGATTTTACTTAGCATAAATTATTACTTGCTTCATGGGGTCAGTCACTAGGATAAAAGGAGTTTACGTTTTTAAAGCCCTTAAACCAGTGCCTGGCACATAATAAATGCTACATAATTATTGGTTTAACAAATAAGATTTTTACCCTGAAATCATAAATAAAATTTAATTTAAAAAACCAGAGTGACTTCTAGTGTAATGAAAATCGCATTTGGGTGTACTGTATAGTCACACCCTTAGTTATCCAGGTGCAGACCTATATGGGATCCCACCAAATGAAACAGAAAACAACGAGAGTCTTAGACGTGGGAGAGCATCTTCTGAGCGCTTGGTTACAGGGCAGAAGCCTCAAGGAGTCACTGGTTTCTGACTGTCTGCTCTCCTGAACACAGAGCAGGATTTTAATGCGGGGTCTGTAAAAGATAGAAGGCTCTGGGCACCAAGGAGTGAGGCTGGGGAGAGGGGACAGAAGGAGAATGGAAAGCAGGGGGAGCCAGAGACCACAGCAGCGGTGGCAAGATTGAAAACCAAGACTGAAAAGGGTTAATGCATACGCACGCCCAGTAGTAGGAGAGAGAGAGAGAGAAGAGGAAAAGCTGTTGTGTGAGGGGTTCCCACAGAGTGAAGACTTAAACTGTTAAGAGTAAAGCAGGTGCAAGATGGTGCTAAGAATGATTAAAGAAGACTGGGTGATTGGGACAAGCCCTGGCACTTCCTGAAGCGGGTTCGCAAGGGTCCAGAGACCTGTGAGACCGGGTGGAAGGCAGGAAGCGTTCATGGAATAAGGGGTGAGGGACGAGAAATAAGTATGGAGCCCAGAGTTGGCTTGGCTTTGGGGCTTGGCTAACTGGCTATGCCACGTTTCTGGCGCATTCATTGGGACACAAAGGCTATCTGAATTGTGGTTTGCTGACACGGCTCCCTGGGCTGGAGCACCTCCGTTTTAGGCCTAGAATGTTTTATGTTTTTTTTCCCCAACGATGCCATGGTATCCCCAACTTTTTCTCTCTGAGGACAGAGCTTCTCAACAGGCAAGACTTTTTTTTTTTTTTTTTTTTAAGATTTTATTTATTTGGGAGAGTGAGAGAAAACGGGAGAGGGGCAGAGCAAGGGAGAGAAAGCGTCTCCAGCAGGCTCCACACTCAGCGCAGAGCCCGATGTGGGGCCCGATCCCACAATCCTGAGATCACCACCTGAAACCGAGAGCCAGCCACTCGACCAACTGCGCCGGCCAGGCGCCTCTCAGCAGGCAGATGCTTTATGATTGCTTCAGTTTGAAGTTCTCCTTGGAGGGAGAAGTGTCTTTTTGTTTTGTTTTATTGTGTTAATCTTCCTCATGTGAAGTAGGGAGATATGAGTTTTGGCTGGTATGGTTTCTTCAGTGCCCTAATTTAAAAAGTCTCTTGTAGAGTAAGCAAGGAGTTAGTAGGTACCAGGGTCTGCTTTTTCTGGGTCCATATGTCATCTTAAAATCTGGATCGAGGTTAATATTGATTAGATAGTAAATAAAAGTTTGCATATATCTTACCCATATGGGAAAAAATACAGTGATGTACTCTCCCACTGGCTAATACTCTTCTGTGTAGTGTATAAATAGTACACATACAAGCATACCTTGCTTTCAGACCACCGAAATGAATCAAATAATTGCAGTAAAACCAATCAAATGAATTGTTTTCCCAGGGCATATAAAAGTTATGTGTGTATTCTGTTTTCATCTGTTTAACATACAATAAATAGCATTATGTCTAAAAAAAACAATGGACGTGCCTTAATTAAAAATATACTTTACTGGGGCACCTGGGTGGCTCAGTGGGTTAATAAGCCTCTGCCTTCGGCTCAGGTTATGATCTCAGGGTCCTGGGATCGAGCCCCACATCGGTCTCTCCGCTCAGTGGGGAGCCTGCTTCCCCCTCTCTCTCTGACTGCCTCTCTGCCTACTTGTGATCTCTGTCTGTCAAATAAATGAATAAAATTTTAAAATATATATATATATACACACACACACACATATACACACTTTATTGCTAAAAAATGCTAACCATCATCTGAGCTTTCACCAAGTCCTGATAACTGATCACAGATCACCATAACCAGCACAGTCATAATGGAAAGGTCTGAAATATTGCAAGAATTACCAAGATGTAACACAGAGAGATAAAGTGAGCAAATGCTGCTGGAAAAATGGCCCTCCCTCAGCACAGCGTTGCCACGTACCTCCGATTCACAAACACATCCCAGCTGTGAGGCTCGCTAAGGTGACGTCAGCAAAACAAGGTGTACGCCTGAATACTATGAATTTCCTTTATTCGTCTTGGGCCTATGATTTTCATTAATTTTTAGCCACCTGAGATGGGTTTGAAATGCTGATTCTAATTCCCCATTGTGGGTCCTGGTATATTCATGGGCACAGAACCCCCCACAGCCCGATTCCAGCTGCTCTGATGGTGGGGCCAGGGACAGAGGAGCTGGGACACACGCTGGCAGCGGCCACAGCCGCGCTCGGAACATCCAGGATGTTTCGCGCTCGGCGGTCCAGGAGGGTGGCCGTCTCTTGCCTCTCAACTCATTTTATAGTTACGGACTACCAGTGTTCGCAAAAGAATGGGCCTTTTGGCTCAAGTGGGTTGCGCCTTCTGCTGGTCAAAGGGGACTCTGGAGAGGTGACACCCCACACTTACGGAGGGCATTCGGTTGGTCTTCACTCTCCTTGAATGACACTTTAGGAAGAAGAGACTACACCGGTTTTCTTCGAGCTCATTCTAAATTGAGCACACCAGGACTTTTGGGTTCATTTTTTGTCAAATCCACACTCTCTTAGTACGTCACCCCGTGTTGACTTGCTCCCTTCGGAAAACCGCCCTCCGTGGGGATGGTGTCGTACGTAAAAATGTATTTAACATCTAGTGCCCTATACGTGTAAGAATTTACTGGCTTCGAGAGCCTGTCACGTTTCAAAGGAAAGAGCTCCCTCCTGAAAGACTGTTGCACTCAGTGGCGGAGTATGGAACAGTATTAGAGAGTATCAGGAGAGTGTTAAACAGAATGAAGGCAGTCTCCAGATCGTCAGCATAGCAGTTGCAGCCGGTTGTCCTGTATGTTCCCACTGGTGGGGGGTCTTGGGGGTCTTCAGTGAATAAGCCATCACAGACCTTTACAAAATGAACTTGCTAAACTGGGGGAGCACTCGATGGAAAAGCAGTCAGGCATGCTGTGGATAAGGCTGCACCCCCGCCCCAGACAAAGCTGTATGACTTTCCCTCACTCGGGGGAGCTGAGAGCTCGCGTCTGCTCCCCCAAAGCGGACCTCAGCACTGACAATTCTGCCCTCCAACGTCCTGCAGGGACGTTTTATGCCTATCATAAGACAGTAGACTGATGTGTTTGTTAATTTGCTTTTAGATTATACATCCCAAAACTGATGATCAAAGAAATCGATTGCAAGAGGCTTGCAAGGACATCCTGCTGTTTAAGAACCTCGATCCGGTAAGTGACACCACAGTGACCAGCGACGGTTTTTTTGTTTCAGCGTCACAGAGTGAAAAATGGTGCAGGGTCTTGACAAGCTAACGTCACCCTGGATGACGTAACCCCCTGTCCCCCAAGCAGCGCTAAGCTTGGGAGAAGCAGTGTCCTTGCAGCTTGGAGCACACAGGCCGGCCGGCCTGCCCCCTTGTCCGCGGAAGACATTATCTCATCCCTCCAGGTTACAAGTGTAGCCTGAGAAACGGCCCAGATGAAGGGAGGGCGGGACCTCACATTCTTTGTACATCCAGGGGGAACGTGAAGGGTGGATTGCCGCTCTTTTGGGCTAGTGATAATAATGATATTTTAGTGTATAACTTTTGTATTCTACTTATTTTGAAAGTAACATTTTACTTCACTGTAAAGGTAGAGGGATTTTTTTCCTTTATAAGGATTTTGAAATCTCTGGTTTTTGGTTCTGGATGCTTTTTTAGAAACCCCTCTCGGTGTGAGTAGGCCTGAGGTTCACATTTTGTCCTGTACTCAGACCTGAATGTTCTCTTTCTTCATCTCATGTTAATCTTCCTCATTGCTGTGTGGTCATTCGGGTTGCCATGATCCTGCTGCCATGACCCAAATGTGGAAACGGAGTCAACTTTTATAGGTTACTCCAACTTTTTAAAAAAATATGTATTTTTTTAAATTTCTTTTTTTTTCTTTCTTTTTTTTTTTTTTTTGAGAGATTGAGAGAGAGAGAGAGAGTATGAAGGAGCATGAGCAGGGAGTAGGCCAGAGGGAGAGGGAGAGGGGGAAGCAGGCTCCCCATTGAGCAAGGAGCCCAATGCGGGGCTCCATCCCAGTACCCAAGCTGAAGGCAGATGCTTAACCAACTGAGCCAGCCAGATGCCCCTTAACTCAGCTTTTTTTGGTCAAATGCAGTATCTTATAGTTTTTAGATTGATGCCCTGGAACATTAGATTAAGGCCTACTCTTTTTAAGATGAGGTCTTCTTAAATCCATTTTTATAAAGAGGAAGGTATGTATTGTACTGAGTGTTATACACTGGGACACACTGAAACATCTTTTTAAGATCTTTTGTTTTGAATACCACATGATTCTATCATGTCCTCCAGGAACGGGGATTACATTTTTTGACTTTGGATACTGTTTTAGGACCACATGTTATAAGTTTTGTCCACTTAGACTCAGGTCCTCTAGAATTCTTGTTGAGTTTGCAAAACTGTGAGCTCTAAAGAAGGGGTTGTTGATTGTTTGTCCTAATAATGGAAGATTAAGAAATGAAATTCAGGGGCGCCTGGGTGGCTCAGTCAGTTAAGCACCTGACTCCTGATTTCAGCTCGGGTCGTGATCTCAGGGTGGTGAGATTGAGCCCCACACTGGGATCTACACTGGGCATGGAGCCTGCTTAAGATTCTTTCTCTCTCTCTCTCCTCTGTCCCTCCTCTCTCTCTCTCTCCCTCCCTCCTGCCCCCCCAACCCTCTCAAAAAAAGAAAGGAAAAGAAAAAAAGAAATGGAATTAAGATAGAAAATTTAGAAATTTAGGAATGGAAATATTTTCTTATAGTGTTAAGTACTAGAATAAGTGACTAAAGGGAATTTGTAAAATTTTGATGGGCTTCCAAATAATCTGTCTTCTCATTTATCTAGAATAATGACTGTGACATAAAGGACACTAAAACTGTATGATCTCTAATCATCTTCCACCAACAAGAGTCCAAATAATGATTGGTGGAAAGATACAACTTTGTGTGTTGCGGGGGGTTGGGATTAAACTAATTGAGTATTTAACTTTTTTCCTCCAGATACACACAAAGACAGCTATAAAATTAATGCCCAGTTTTACCCTTAGGGGTGGGCTTCCACTCAGGAGATCTATTTTTCGACTAGAATGTTCCTTGGGAGAATTTCCAAGCTGTCCAGAAGCAGGGCTTTTTGTGCTCTCCTATGTCTGTCACCAAAGGGTCTTCCTCAGAAGGCAGGGTCTGGTTCACTAGGTCTGTGGTGGAGCCTGAGAGTCTGCATTTCTCACGGGCTCTCAGGCGAGGGAAGGGCGCCCGGCCCACAGCCCCGCTTCCCGTAGCGAGGACGCGCACCAGCCGTGAAATGGTCCAGCTCTGGATTTTGGTGACTGCCGCGTGTTATTCTGTGTGCACACTTTCCTGCTGAATCAAAGCCGCATTTTGCGGCTTGGGCCGTGACGGAACAGTGCTCTCCGTGGCCTGGGCGCCAAGTGATAAACCAGCGGGAGCCAGATGGCTGCCAGGCCTGTTCTCCTAAGATGCCGCCCCCTGTCCTTACTGCTCCTCACCGTTAGAGTGACTTTTCTCACTGTTTCACCTTTGAGTCTTAAAAGCACTGTGAACATTTTGGATGCGTTTAAAGTAATTTTTGAAAAGCTTTCACTAGCATATTCTGGCCAGGAACATGTCTACTTAGTTCAAGTGGTGTTTTTTATAAACAGTAAATTTTTTTAGCATTTTTTTGCTGCAGTGTCGAAGGTCTTCAATACATGTATTTTAAAGGCCAGTTCATGGCCGGGGGAGAAAGAAAAAACCAGTTCACGAAATTACGAAATTCATGAATTATCATTATTAAATATTTTGTAGGGGAAGAAGCTAATATATTTACATGGTTGATTCCAATAGATTTTTTTTTTTTTTTAAATGTGAGCTCAAGCTGTCTTGATTTATTTGCCCTACTATCCCCAATCCTTCTGGGAATGATGCAAAATATAGATGAGTAAAACTTTATTTTTCTCAATAAATTACCACCTGGAACAAAAAACAAACAAAAAACCCTCCCCAGACATGGCAGATTGAAGATTTTAGGTTAAGCTCATGTTTTAAACAGGCTTCTAGTTTTTCATGATACACATTTTTTTTTTACAATAACCCAGATGCATTTAAAGTGAATTACATATTCAGCTCCAATCACCTGCTTATACAACAGCTTTCAGTTCAATGCCCTGACTGTTCATTGCGCTCCAGAGCCCATATAAGCCTTTTTAGGGATGCTGCAGAAATACTGAGACATGGCTTTTGTCCTCTTGGAACTTATAATTTGATGAGGGATTCAGAAGCAGTTTGGTACCTGACCAGTGCTGTGATGGAGTCAGGACACTGTGTGAGGAGAGGGTCTCTCAGCCCCACATGGGGATTTGGGAAGCTGGGGAGGCTGCCTGAGCTGAGCCTCAGAAAGTGAGTAGGAAGGAGGTTGCCCATGGAAGGAAAGGGAAGGGAGTGTTCTCACGGGAGCCTGCGCCAGCAGACACAGTGGCGAGTGCTTAGGTACATGTGTGCCGTGTCCTCAAGGACCCTTCTTGAGTGCCCCCTATAGGGTCAGCCACATACTGTAGGCAGCGGGAAGTCACCATTGAAACATTTTAAGCACAGAAAGTAACAATCAAATGTGTCTGAGGTCACTGCTATGGCAGGATGGAGAGTAGAAAGGCGGGAAATGGGCTTACGGAAGGGAATAAGAGGATGAGTTTCATAAAATATTCAGGGTTAGCAGAAGTTGGCACTTTTTAGGGACCAAATGATTGACCTGATGGAAAGGGTTTAGGATGACTCCCACTGTCTTGCTGGGAATGAACATGAGCTGGTATCTTTTTCTGAAATTGGAAAATTTGGAGGAGGAAGGGCACGCAGTAACTGTCGACTAAAAGGAAGAATGATCTTGGCCTTTTACCTACTATCTCATCTCAACTCCCTGAAGTCATTGTTTAGCTTGGAAGTCTTGCTCCTCCTGGGCCTCTGGACATTTTTCCTGGAGGGCTGTATATTCATATGTTGGGTGCAGCATTTATAATTATTAATCTCTTTGAAGATATCATGAATATTTAATGCTCGACTCCGTAGGCCATTTTTCTTCTGAAATATTTCTAATTTGAGGCAAACGGAAATAATTTTCCTATGCTCCATGATAGGTTCTTTGGTTAATGGAGAGTAAATTGTTATTTTTGAAGTTAGAGAACTTTCATTGAGCTCGAATTTGCTTTCTGTAGAATAAGATGTGGACTTCCTACTGGGAAGATGTGGAATAAGATGTAGACTTCCTACTTATCCTACTGGGATAAGCCTCTGCATATTAAATATTTCCTAAGTTCCTTTCACTCTGTGCATAATTATGGGGAAATTGCATTTTGATTGATTAGAACAGACACATGTCACAGTGACAAGTTCTAGAAGAAATGATTGTTCTGTATTTTACCAGGAATTACTTTTTTATATATCCATGTGTGAATTCCTAAGCTTTATAATGTTTTAAAATGCAGCTAAATACCAAGGCAACAAAAAAATTTATTAGAGCACTGTATTTCATTTTTTCCCCTCCATTTGACATTTAGAGAAAGAGCTAATCAATAAAGCTGATATTTTCTCTCCATCTGGACTAAATATAAGTAGTAAGAGCTACAAAATATTAGTAAACCATTTAATCAAACTTCATAATTTTGATAGGTGACCATATGCTGCCTGGTTGATGAACTCATTTGGATGAAATGGTCCCTGCGGGGCCAATTAGCAGCACATCCAGACAGCACTGCTTGTTGGCCACACTGGCTTCATCTTCCACAGGGGCTCCTGTTTCACAAGCAGGTGTCACAGCTCACGCAGGGACCCAGGAAGGGGACGAAAACCCCTTCCTGCAGGACCCAGCCCCATCATTCCTCCAGAAGCTTCATTAGCCCTGTGAAGATGTATGTTCTCTGTTCCAATGGACAGCTTGGGTTTTTAATTACAAGTTCTAAGTCTGTGTGCATATACAATTTATAAAAATCCAAAAAGAACAAAAGAGTAGTCAGGGAGAAGAGTAGTCAAGGAGAGTAGTCAGGGAGAACTACAGGGGAAGGAGTCCCCTCGCAACCCAGCTTCTCAGGAGCCATGTGCTCTGAGCAGTTCCATGGGTATTTCTCCAGGGTTATGCCCTGTACAGATTATTATGTTGTTTTTTAAAATTTCAGTGGCAGCAAACTCTCTACAGTGTCCTGCCCTGTTCTTTTTACTTGACAATATATCCGTATTTGTAGAGGTTCTGTATTTTTTAAAAATTATTTGTATCAAAAAAATTACTTGTTTCAATATGATTTTATAAAAGCTTAAATTGGTAGCATTTACATATTTTAAAGCTAAACCAGGAAAACACATTAATATTTTGCTGTTGTCTCATTTACTAAATTTGTATAGATAGCCAAGGAGGGCCCACATTGTCAAAATAATATTACAAAAGAAGAGCAAAGTTGAGGGACTCACACTTGCCAGTTTCAAAACTTTTACTACAGGGACACCTGGGTAGCTCAGTCTTTTAAGCAGCTGACTCCTGGTTTTAGCTTAGGTCACGATCTTAGGGTCATGAGATCGAGCCCCACTCGGGCTCCACACTCAATGGGGAGTCTGCTTGAGATTCTCTCTCTGCCTCTGCCTCTCTCCCCTTTTCTCTCTAAAATAAATAAATAAATCTTAAAAACAAAACAAAAACAACAACGACACCTGTACTACAGAGCTCCAAGAATAAAAACAATGTGTTACTGGCCTGGGTATACACACCGAACAGTTGAATAGAATTGAGAGTCTAGAAACAAACCTGTACATTTGATTTATACATTTGATTTGAAGGCCATTTGATTTTTGATGAGAGTGCCAAGACCATTCAGTGGGGAAAGAATAATCCCTTCCACAGATGGTGCTGGGACCATTGGATATCCACACACAAAGGAACCAAGTTGGACCCCCTCCTTTATACTGTACAAAAAAATTAACTCAGAATGGATCCAGGACCTAAATATAAGCTCCCAAACTGTAAAAACTCCTAGAAGAAAACTCAAGGGTTTGGGGCACCTGGGTGGCTCAGTGGGTTAAAGCCTCTGCCTTCAGCTCGGGTCATGATCCCAGGGTCCTGGGATCGAGCCCCGCATCGGGCTCTCTGCTCAGCAGGGAGCCTACCTCCCCCACCCCCACCTGCCTCTCTGCCTACTTGTGATTTCTGTCTGTCAAATAAATAAATAAAATCTTAAAAAAAAAAAAAAAGAAAAGAAAAGACAAGGATTCGTCTTCATGACCTTGGATTTAGCAGTGGATTCCAAAAATAGGAATATGAAAAGAAAAGAAAGAAACTGGGCTTCATAAAAAATAAAAAATTTTGTGCATCAAAGGACATTATTGAAAAAAATGAAAGACTTTCTACGAAATGGGAGAAAATAATTATAGATCATCTATATATATAAAGGCCTAGTAGCCAAAATATATAAAGAACTCTTACAACTCAACAACAAAATAACAACCTTACTTAAAATTAGGCAAAATACTTGAATAGACATTCTCCAAAAAAGATATACAAATGACCAGTAAACACATGAAAAGATTCTCAGCATGGCTAGTCATGAGGGAAATGCCAATCCTGAAATCATAATGAAATACCAGCCCATTACTCCTAGGTGTGTGTCTATATACAAATTTTTTTAAGAAGGGAAAATAACAAGTTGATGAGGATGTGAAGAAGTTGGAACTTCATTGCTGATGGGAGAGAAAATGGTTTACGGACTGTGGAATATGGCTTGGCAGTTGCTCAAAAGGTTAAAAACCTAGAATTACCATAGGACTTGGTAGTTCCACTCCTCAGTATAACCCAGAAGAATGGATGTAAATATTCAGACAAATCCTTGAATATGACTGTTCCATAGCTGCACTATTCACAGTAGCAAAAAGGTGGAAACAATCCAAGTGTCCATTGGCGGGTGAATGGGTAAACGAATTGTGGTATATTTACAGCAGAATACTATTCATCCATAAAAAGGAATAAAGTAGGATTATCCAGAACAAGGATGAACCTTGAAAACCTTATGCTGAGTGAAATAAGGCAGAAGGAAAAGGTCACACTGTATGATTGCATTGTAGGAAATACCAGATTAGGGGGATCATAGAGACAGAAAACAGGTAGGTGTTGCCAGGGGCCAGTGGGGGGAAAAGAGCAAAGTGACAGCTTAGTGGGCACAGGTCTACTTTTTGGAGTGATGAAGATGTTTAGAAACTAAGAACTGGTGGTTACACAACTTTGTGGCCACTGAGTTGTTCACTTAACCATAGTTGATTTTATGAGAAACTTAACCTCACAAAAAAAAATCATGTATATATAATTCATCTGAGCATTTAGTGTCAATATTTAGTGTCACTTTAAGGAGGCATTTAAATCAACAGTTTACAGAATCAGTTACTGTGGCACCACCTCAAAATCCCTGGGTTCCGCAAAACCCAGTTTGAGAAACATTGAGCTCTTTTGTCTGTCTGGGGAGGGGGTGTCTTTGAATTGTTCCTGTATTTGTTCTAAGGAAAGGTTTCTTCACCTTCTAGTTTATCCTCACTAGCTGAAGTTTACTCTGAAGGCTTGTCAACCACACTTTAGCAGAATAAAAATTTTATGTAGTGTAAGAAGTTGTTGAAGAATAGGTTTGACGTTTCTGACTTCGGTTTTAATAAATCTGCCCTAGGGAGGTAAATGGTTGCTTCTTGAAGAGAACCAGCGTGATGAGGAACCATGATAACAAATCTACCATTGTCATTTTGGGGTTTGCCTTTCATCTCGTTTTTCAGTTCTGTTGTTTTGTTTTTGGTGCTAAACCAAACAGGATTGGAGTTAGAATTTGAATTCACTAAGTGTTTAGGTAATCTCTACATAAATTCTAGTGATGACTAAACATAGGAAGTTTTAAGAACAGATAATCTTTAAAAGACATTTGCAGTCATTCTTTATGAATCTGGTCATTTTCATTGCCAAGATTCTATTTCATTTAGACGTTGTGGTTTGCAGGTTCATTTTTCAATATATTAAAGTGGTGGTCGTTGCACTGAAATATTCTGAAATAAGCTAATTATAATTTCATTGAGGTACTGAATATGAAAGGAAGGAAATGTATAGCCACCTCATTTGTTAGGTGGTACGAACAGCTGTGCTGTGTGTGTGTGTGTGTTTGAAAGATTTAATGGCAGTGATGATGTTTCTGTGTCTTCGAGCTGGTTCACAGAAATATAAAGCCGGTTACGGTTAGTTAAGTGAACGTACTGTAGACAAACGTAAGAATCGTATCTTTTCTTTTGAAAAAATAGGAGCAGATGTCTCAAGTGTTAGATGCCATGTTTGAAAAACTGGTCAAAGAAGGGGAGCATGTAATTGATCAAGGAGATGATGGTGACAACTTCTACGTGATCGATAGGTAAGTCTCGTGTAACCTCCCTGCTGAAATGTAATGAACCTTCCGTATAAAACCTCAGCGGTTCTAGTAACGACTGGCAAATTAATATTTGATAGTTGCTGTTACCTCTTTATTCTTTATTCTTGGAAGCCTGCTGTGAATGCGTGTGGTGCAGCTACATTAGATCACAAAAAAAGGCCTCGTTCATAGAAGAACGGGTGATTTGGGTCAGTTAAATCTATAAATCTTGGGCATTTACTGTGAGCCGCCTCGTTTATTAACTTTGTCTTGAGAGGAGGCCTGTTACACTTAGAAGGGACAGCATCTGGGGTGCTGAGTCGCATAACTCAATCTGTTCTTTTTTTATTAACAATAAAATAAAACATGCACGTGGTGGAGAGGGTAGTTTGTTCTTTCCAGAAATTGTGTATGCATTCTTGTGCATTAAAACCTTGTAGAAAAGTTATTTTAAAACATTGCAGAGAAGGGCACCTGGGTGGCTCAGTTGGTTGAGCGACTGCATTCAGCTCAGGTCATGATCCCAGAGTCCCGGGATCGAGTCCCACATCAGGCTCCCAACTCCATGGGGAATCTGCTTCTCTCTCTGACTCTCCCCCTTCTCATGCTCTATCTCTCATTCTTTTTCTCAAATAAATAAATAAAATCTTTAAAAAAAAAAAAGTGCAGAGAGATTATCATATTTAAATGGGGGAGGCGGGCATTCATATTGAAAATGTAATTTTGGAAAACGTTAAGTTGTGCTTTACTTTGCTAAAGAACAGCATACTTCAAGCTATCGTTAGATAGGAGCCCTAAACTATGATGGGGGAGCGGCCTGAACAGAGGCTGTGTTTCTCCACCCTGGTAGAGTGGTGCTGGTAGACCCCCTCCTGGGCTGGGGGCCACACACGTCCCCAGCGTGGCCGAATTCATCGGGGGGCATTGCTTCTCCGGGCAGAGTTGTGCTCAGCGCAGAGCCTTGCGGAAAATCCCACCCCGTCTGTGTGCGCAGCCTGTGTCTTGACTTGGCTCTGGGGTTGGCATGTCCCCGACACCCACAGTGATGCACGCCCTCCGCAGGCAGGGTTCTCACCGACTCCTCCGTTCCCTCATCTGGATGCCGTGGTGACCTGGAGAACCATTGGCGAGGGCTGGGGTGAGCTCTCTGATTTTAGAACAGACCCAGTTTATTCCATAGGTAAATTTAAAGTCTTGATTTTTGTATCCTTAACAGCTTTCATCAGTGATGCGCCTCAGAAATTCACTCAGCTGTTACGCTGTATTTAACTGTGGGGGTATGGATGGGAAACCCAAATACGACAAGAACTCCCTCACGTTTCCCTGGTCAGTTAGATCCTCATCACCCATTTGACAGGTGAAAGGTCCCAGGCACGCAGAAGTGACGGGAGTCGGTGAAGGTCCGCCAGCCCGGCATCCGGGTCCGTTGGTCCTTGTTTGTGGTCTTCCTGTGGCTCTGCTCTGCCCGACGCCTCACATTATCAAAGAAGAAATGTGTGTGAGAAGGTGGTAGGGGCGTTAGATAGTGTGCTGGCAGCTAGCCTCGGGGCTCATTTTACTTCTCCTCAGCACGTTTGTCACATACTTTATTCTGTTCAAAGTAGAAAATGCATAAAATGGTTTTAGTGCCCAAGTGTAAATAGTGTTAATAGAAGAATTAGTCGGTACTTGAAAAATAGTCATGAAACCGCTTCTAGAAGGTGTCCTTGAAAAGCCTTTCTAACCATGAACATCAGACTGGTTATTCTCCTCCTGGTTAATATGTTTGTGTAGTGCCTTGTGCTTTTTGCTTTTGTTGTATCTTTACCACTCATAATCCTTTCCTAATCTTAAAAGCTCTCCCTTTTTTGTCTTTGTTAGAGGCTTAGCCAACAGAATAAAGCCAAAGAATTTCTGTCTGTCCTCTCAGGTGTTTCAGCAAGCCTCGAAGCCATGTTCTCTGGCAAAGCGCAGTGTGTGGGAAGACAGTCGTCCAAGGAAGACATTAGTGCCATAGACACAGGGTCTGTGATACATGGAGGACAGTGCTGGGCAGACGGAGTGTTGCCTGCCTAGAAGACGAGCCCAAATAAAAGATAAGCACAGAATAAAAAGACCTACAGAAGACCAGGATCAGATATTTAGTCTGAATTTCTACCACTTTTTGCTTTAGCTTAGGGGTCAGTCTGCAGTAAAGCCCCAGATGATATGTAAAGGTCCAGAGTACACTCTTCAGGCTTTGAGGCCCTGGGGTCCCAGCCACTCAGCTCTGCCATTGGTGGCACATGAAGGTCAGCTGTCAGGAAGGTGCCGGCGAACCCATGTGTTTGTGGCCTAGGAAAACTACTCCGGAAGGCAGGTTGTGGGTCCCTGGGCCGTGCTTCGCTGGCCCCTCCCTTAAATGATACAAGAGCCTTGTGTTTGCTGTACAGTAGGGCTGACCAAATTGTTAGAGCTGTATTCTTTTTAAAAAAAAGTTATTTTCTTCTGATTACAAAAGTAATACGTGTTCTCTTCAGACACAAAACTCCTAAAGCATCCTTCACGTTCGTAACGCTCGGAGATGACTGCAGTTGGCTTTTTCAGAAGGATGTCTGTGCCTATTCTATACGGTTGGAGTCTTATTTTTTTAATCACTTATTTTATTATTATAAACTTTTATTTGGTCTCATTTTTCCCTGGCAGGCACATGTCTGGTCAGAAGAGAAAGAGAATCTGGAAAGGAGATTTCTTCAAACACGGCTCTTCTCTGAAATGATGATTTATTTTCAGGAGATTTGACTTGAGTTACTTTTACCTCTTGTTTTTCATCTGCCAATAGAGGAACATTTGACATCTACGTGAAATGCGACGGTGTCGGAAGGTGTGTGGGCAACTACGACAACCGCGGGAGCTTCGGTGAACTGGCCTTAATGTACAATACGCCCAGAGCGGCCACAATCACTGCTACCTCTCCTGGTGCTCTGTGGGGTTTGGTGAGTGGAACCTGTATTTGACCTGAGTGTTACTTGTGAAAATCATTATGACAAAAGCCGGGCAGGTAGAGTCTTCTGGTTCTAAAAGGTGGATGTCTTTGTGATCCTCATCGGTCATTTTGAGGGTATTTATTAAGCATCTACTGGATGCTGCACTTCTCGGTGCTGAGTGAAATCTTCATGTTCTTTTCCCAGTGAAGTCAGGAGCTTAACCTACTGGGCCAGATCCAAAATGCTTCTCTTTTACCCACCCTTAGAAACCAGCCACCCAGACCAGTGAGCAAGGCCTCTGGGGCTGTTTTCTCAGGTAGCTTTCTTGTGGTGTGGTTGGATCTGCGCTTGCCCAGGTGTGGTCCCCTGACCGGGAGCATCTGTATCACTGGGGCCACTTTGCTAGAAATGCTCGTTCTGGGCCCCCCATTACTGATTCAGGCCCGTGAATCAGAGGCTCTGGAGGTGGGATGCGGTGATCTGTGCTTGAGCAAGCCCACCATGAGACTCAGACGCATGCTGGAGTTTGAGAAGCCCCTGTAAGCAGGTTCCCTTGGCGTGCTTTAAAATTCGAACAAGTTTGCATTGAAAAGCAGCTGGGTAGCATCCAAATACTGGAAGCCCACGTTTCTCACCCAGATGCACATCAGAATTACTTGAAGGTGGGGCAGGGCAAGGGGAGGGGATATTTAAGAAAAAAAAAATCCTCTTGCTGAGGATCCACCAGAGACCAGCGTAATCAGACTGCAGGGGTGGGACCTGGGCTTTTAAAATAAGTTTGTTAATGGTGGTATTTCTACAAAACTTAAAAGTTGGTTTAAAGACCTTTGGGAGAGGTGGGAGGGGGAGTCTTTCCATACCCGATACCAGGGTTCAGACTGGCCGATTCTGGAAGCCTGTCTTTAAGCTGGAGCTTCTCAGACTCCGAGCTACTTACGGGTCACGTGGGAGTGTAGTTTGCAGCTCCTGATTCACGGAATCTGCCATGAGGCCTGTGGTTCTGCATTTCTCATGAGCTCCCAGGAGACCCCGGTGTTGCTGTGCCCAGAGCACAGTTCAAGCAATGCTGGTTTTTAGGGCATGTTTGCAATGCTTGTACTTCCTTTCAAATTGTTGAAAATGGCCCACTCTCTAGTTTCGAATGTGTATTTTATTTTATTAGATTAGTTCCCTCAATAGTCATTTTGTGGAAGGCGAAGAGAGGTTGAGAGCATAGAAGGTCTCTTTGCAGTCTGGGTCCAAGAACCATATGTAGCTTTGCAGAAGTAACCTGTCACTCCGTGTGGACTCAGCCCTTGAACTCTGAAGTCGAGTCAGCTGATAAAAGATCTCTTGCTCAGAGAAGCCATACATACTCTATGTTTCTTTTTTTTTTTTTTTTTTTTAAAGTTTTTTTTTTTTTTTTTTTTTCAGAGAGAGAACACAAAGAGAGGGAGGCAGAGAGAGAGAGAGAGAGAGAGAGGGAAGCAGGCTCCCTGCTGAGCAGAGAGCCCGATGCGGGACTCGATCCCAGGACCCTGAGATCATGACCCGAGCCGAAGGCAGCGGCTTAACCCACTGAGCCACCCAGGCGCCCCAACTCTATGTTTCTTCTTATTAGAATCAGGCAGTTACTGTTGCTGTGAGAAGTCTCTCTGACTCATTTTAAGTTTACAAGAAACGAGAAGAAACTCATCGTGGTCTGGCGTGGGTAAAGGACTGTCAAAGATTTGAGCACCCAAAGCCAGCAAAGTAGAAACCACAAACTGGACCAGGCTAGGTCCATGGGACATGTTTGCCAGGTATCAGAGTGGTTGGCTCCATCTAGAGTCGGCCATGACCTGTTCCATTAAGGAAGGTATCTGCTGAAGGTTTAGTTGGATTGAGGTTGCCGGCCAGAGTCAGAGGGTCTGGAAGCCCCCTGCACACCCTTGAAGCAAGATCACACGTAGCGGGTTGGCCCCTCCAAGTCCTCCTAATTTGCAGCCCCGGTAGAAACTTTAAGCTGGGTACCAAGGCCCAGCATTCCCAGTGTGTGCGATACTTAAACCATCAAGAAGGATTAAGCATTTTCAGAGATTTTACTTGTCTCTCCATGTTATTCAGGTGGGCAGTTTGTGATGATTACCTTAGGATACATGCCTAAGTGCAGGAACTTTTCTAAAAATTAGAATTAGCCTGTCACTTAATCCTTCAGATACGTTTTTTAAGAGCCACTTAGCGAACTTTTCAGGAAAAGTTGAGTAGGAAAGATGTTTTCCTTTAAGACCTACAGATTGGAGCTCTGTCCTATAAATGCAGGTAGAAAGATAAGCAGATCCTGAGAGAAAAGCCCTTTTGTTAGACTAGCCTAAATTTGTAAATAGTACTTGGTCGCTGTGAGCCCTAGGGGATTAACTGACACACGTGACCCTGCCGGTGATTCAGGAAGACGATTATTGAAGTGACTAGGATGAAAACATTTGAAATGGGACTTTGTGGATTTTAATTATATGTCACAGTGGGTGTGAAGAAGTGGGCCACTAACAAAATTTTCATGGGACCAATACCTCATTGTGGTTAATTTTTAATCCCTAAACTGTTTCTCATCTGCTCTGTTTTGCAATAAACTCTGTCCATAAAAGGGGGTTGCAGCTGGTTCCCAAACCTGATTATGTATCAGAATCACTTGGGGTAGCTTTTATAACCTATAGGTTAGTGAGCCCTACACGCAGACTTTGTGTCATTCAAGTCTGGGGTCTGAGAACCTTTTTTTTAATACTACAGTGATTCTGATGCAGACCCGAGCTTGGAAATTATTTCAATAGTTTTAGTAATTATCTTGCACATTTTTCTATTTTAAAAAAGTTAATTAGGATTATAACTCCAAATTACTGCCCTTCTCAAATAGTAATAGACTAAATTGGGGAACAGGATATTTGCTTTCCTGGAGACTTACGTCCGCAATGGTGTTTTCCTCCATCCTGGCAATTCGGTTAAATTCATCCTCACTGTGTCGGCATAGTAACTTAATAATTAATGAACATATTGCAGTTTTATTGGATATTAAAATGGTGTAATTGTTTATTGGTGTGTGTGTGACAAACCAACATAATTCTGGGGGCTCTTGACTAAGAACCATTATAAATAATGTTTTGTAGGGATTTTTTCAAAATAAAGTTTGTAGGAAAACAATTTTTTGAGCTGTTTGTTATCCTTAAAATTTTCCCTAGTTTCCTAATTGAATTCTGTATCTTTGAGGTTAAGTAGTATAAACAGGAAAGTTTGAGAACCCTGAGAATGGTAAACACTGGCATTTGACTCTGATATTCAAGAAAGTTGTAGTTCTCTGTGCACATTTTTTAAAAAAGAAAAACTCTGACATTATGTGGATGTGACAACCTAGCATATATAATTTTTTTCAAGATCTCATTATAATTGCTTTATGATTAAAAAAATTTCTAATAGTGTTTTCATGCATTTTTTCTACAACCCACATGAAGATTTCCATTCAGAAATATCAACCAGTATATTTACCAGTATATTACTATATTTACTTATGTATGTGTCTTTGTGTAGAACTGAATTAAATAACTAAACAACACTTAACTATAAGGTGTGCATGCTGAGATTTTCTATACGTATTTTTTATAAAAATGCTGTGTCATGGGTGAAGGGGGTCAGAAGGTATAAGACCTGGGGATGTCCTGTCCACCACGGCCACTGCAGTCTGCAGGCTATATCTGAAAGTTGCTAAGAGTGTAGATCTTAAAAGTTCTCACCACTAGAAAAGGGAATTTGTAGCTATGTATGGTGATGATGTTAACCAGACTTATTGTGGTGATCATTTCTCAATATATGTGAATACCAAATCATTATATTGTACATTCTAAATTAATTTAATGTTATAGGTCCATTATAAGTCAGCTTTAAAAAAAAGGGGTGGTCATGTTCCCTGGCTTGATTTTGGACATCCGAGGGCTGTCATCCACAGTAGAAGAACTTGTGTTCTTCTGTTCGAACTCAGAGACAATGAGTGCCATGGTCGCTTCAGGGGGCTGAGGGTGGGGAAGATGGGGAGATGGTGGTCAAAGGTTGGAAACTTCCAGTTACAAGGTGAATGAGTTCTGGGGATTGAATGAACAGCATGGTAATTATGGTTAACACTGTATTGTACCCTTGAAGGTTGCAAAGGGAGTCTCAGATGTTCTCATTACAATAAAGAAAGGGTAATTATGTGAGGTAATATCAGTATTAACCAGCCCTATTGTGGTAATCATTTCACAATATATAAGTGTATCAAAGCAAAGGGTTGAATACCTTGAACTCTTACACAATGTTACAGATCAGTTCTTTTTTTTTTTAAGGTATTTTAATTAAATTTTATTTAATTTCTTTTTTTTCCTTTTTCTAAATTTTTTTTTAATTTTTTATTTTTTCAGCATAACAGCATTCATTATTTTTGCACCACACCCAGTGCTCCATGCAGTCTGTGCCCTCTCCAATACCCACCACCTGGATCCCCCAACCTCCCACCCTCCGCCCCTTCAAAACCCTCAGATTGTTTTTCAGAGTCCATAGTCTCTCATGGTTCACCTCCCCTTCCAATTTCCCTCAACTCCCTTCTCCTCTCCATCTCCCCTTGTCCTCCATGCTATTTGTTATGCTCCACAAATAAGTGAAACCGTATGATAATTGACTCTCTCTGCTTGACTTATGTTCTATGTCAGTAAAGCTGGAGGAAAACAAAGACAGAGCAGGTGCCTTTTTTCTAATGGTGCAATAGCACCACCTTGTGGATTTATCACCATTACATGTTGGCCAGTTCTGTTCTGAATAAAAGAAAACTTTCCTTTTTCTGAAAAAGGAAAGTGATATTTTATATGGGTCTGTATTTTATGCCTGAAGAAATGAGACAATCTGAAAAAATATAATAACATTAACCTTTTATTTGAGAATCTTCAGTTATTGTTTGTTTTTTATTGGGTCTAAAATGAGACTATCTCTTCAAACATTTTTTCCTAATAAAATCTGCCTCTTAACTGTCTTTGTATCTGCTATTTTGCTTTTAGGACAGGGTAACCTTCAGGAGAATAATTGTAAAAAATAATGCCAAAAAGAGAAAAATGTATGAAAGCTTTATCGAGTCACTGCCATTCCTTAAATCATTGGAAGTAAGTACATGTTTATGCTTCTGTTTTATTTTGCTTTAAAAGTTTGTTTTGTGTGGAACAGTTAGTTCTGTAGGAAAGTTTCTTTGAATATTTTTATTTGAAAAGATTAAACGATGGTGTTTGTCTAACATGGTATTCCTTATACTACCTGTAGCTGCAGATGTTTTGTTTTGCTTTGTTTTACAAGTAACAGACTCATGTGAGTGTCTAGAACAGATTTATATGTGGTCTTTATCTAAAAGCAGACTTCAGAGGTATTTACCCAAAGAATACAAAAATACTAATTCAAAGGGATACACACGTCACGATGTTTATAGCAGCATTATCTACCACAACCAAATTATGGAAACAGCCCATGTGCCCATCGACTGATGAATGGATAAAGAAGAGGTGGTACATGTGTGTATGTGAACATACACACAATGGACTATTACTCAACCATAAGAAAGAATGAAATCTTGCCAGTTATGACATGGACGGAGCTGGGGAGTATAATGCTGAGTGAAATAAGTCAGTCAGAGAAAGATACCTTTGATTTTACTCATGTGTAATTGAAGAAGCAAAACAGATGAGCCCAGGGAAGATAGAGGCAAACCAAGAAACAGACTCAACTCTAGAGAACACACTGATGGTCACAGGGCGGGGGGGATGGGGATTAAGGAGGGCATTTGTAATGAGCACTGGTGTTGAATCCCTATATCGACCACCTGAAAACTAATATAATTCTGTATGTTAACTGACTGGGATTTAAATAAAAACTTAGAAAAAGTAAAAGCAAACTTGAAGTAATGGCAGAAATGTAGACAGGGGCACTAGTTATGCCTTCACAGGGAGAGCTTCTCTAAAGATGGTGTGTCTTTTCCTTCCCAGTCAACCTTGCTGTTTACCCCCCTTCCCCTTTCCTCTTCAGATTGGCCTTCCAGGGTCTCTTCTGTTTTCAGGCTACGCTTACTCACTTGGCGAACTTGTCAAATGCCCTGGCTTTAAACACTGCTTATACATTGATATCTCCTAAAATGGCCATCGCCAGGCAAGGTCCTTCTGTCGAATGGCAAACGCGTTTATCCAACTGCATAATTGACATTAGTGCTCACAGGTCTAATCGACATCTCGAATCTAGCATGTTCCCGATCTCCTCCTGCCGTGCGTTCCCCACCTTCCTGCATCCCGGCCACGAGCCTTAGAATTAGCACTGACTCATCTCCTGAAATTTCCCTCTGTTGGGTTGTCGGTACATGCCTGGTAAAGTTTTTGGCCCTATTACAGAATGTGTGAGAGGCACACTGATTGTGTCTCGTGGCATCTCTTTTTAAAAATGAAAGATTAGGGCCTGGAAGTCCACATGCTTTCAGAGTTAGGCAGGTAAGGCACAGGAGCAGAGGAAGCCAGGGTGGGACGGAGGCTGGGCTCGGGCTCCAGCTCCAGAACGTTGCTGAACCGCAGCCCATTGTTGGCCGTGCACCATCAATGTGGCCTGGGTATTTCTGAGTCCCCTGATTTTTCAAGAGAAGCTGAGAATTTTCCTGAGAAACCTATTTTTTAAAAATGCCGGCAGTTAATTAATACAACACACACACAGACAAACCCACACACTGCTCTGTTTATTTGGCCTCGAGGCTACCGATTTTTACGTTCTGAAATAGAAGTTTAGTCTGTTTAATTTAGTCTGTTTAATCATATGTTTTTTCCATTGAAGGTTTCCGAACGCCTGAAAGTGGTAGATGTGATAGGCACCAAAGTATACAATGACGGAGAACAGATCATTGCTCAGGTATAGTGCTTTTTAGGTAATTCCGCTTAGGGTTTTATTCCAAAAGGTTCTTCCACAAGGCCGATCTTGATGAATTTTTCATATGTGTCTATAATAAGTATGTAGTGGTGGATTAAATGAATATCACGTCCACCAAAAGACCTGTTGAACGTGGTTTAATTTACAGCCATTAAGTTATTTGAATATTTTTATTTATATAATTAACTCCTGATGAATATGTATTAAATCATCAGATGGATTTCTGGATAATTGTCTATTTGTACATAATGAAATTCAAACGTATCTATGGTAAGTTGTCGTTAACAATCAGAAAAAACAGGTCGGCACATTCCTTGTGATAACACGCACCCAGAAGGCACACCGGGAGTTCCCGCAGAGTTTTGCATGATCAGTTCGGGAGGAAGCCTCCTGGGGCTGCTTCCTGATAAAGTTATTCAAGAAGGGAACACACTGTACCGTGTTCTGTATCAGCCTCCAGGCACGAAATGGGGGCCGATGTGCTATTTCACCCCTAATGCTTCTCCGAGATCCCAGTTGGAACAGGTAGGAATACACGCCTTCGTTACAACAGAGCTACGGAGAAGTAGGATTTATGAAGACAGTTGGGGTTCACAGATAGAGCAGACTGACGATAGTACCCGTATTTCTTAGCTACAGTTCTAAGCACTGCGTGAACGATTCCAACAGATTTTAAGGTTCTCTAATTTTTGTATCACATTTAAGCATTGTCTTTTGGTATATGTGGAACGAGATGCAAGGTCTGTGAGCCTGAGGCACGAATAATTGTGTTAGGAGGCAAATACACAAGTAAATCAGTCTCTCTCTTCTGTACACACGCGTGCACACACCGATTATAGTCCGGGGTTGGAAGGAGGTGGAGTCAAATTAGAGAACAAGACCAAGGTTTTCCTATGGAAGTTGAAAAATAACAGAGCACAGAGCACTTTTGACATGATTTTTTTTAGCCTTTTATTTTGAAATAGTTACAGATTCATGGTAAGTTGCAGTGATCATGCAGAGGTCCCGTGCCCTTCCCCCATTCTCCCGGTGCCTCTGGTGTCCCTACACTGCACACCATCACCCCTACGATCCAACACTGGCACAACCCACCGGCCCTGTGTTGTCACTTCTGTGTGCCTTTAGAGCATGTTTTGAAAACAAAATGATCAAGCACCGCCTCACTTGGTCGGTGGAACATGTGACTCTTGATCTCGGGGTTATGAGTTCTAGCCCCACATTGGGTTTAGAGATGATTTAAAAACAAAATCTGAAAAAACAATGACATAGCAGTCAACAGATGTGTTATGATTTTAAACACTTGAAAATGTAATAGGACGCTCCGATGATACAAAGTAAGAGAGGATTATAGATATATTATACTTAGGGTTTATTGAAGGTATTTTTAGGTATTATCTCTGAAGCATTTATAAATATCTATGTTACATAAATCTAGACTCCACATTTTTATGATGTAATCTGATACTGCGTTTCTTGAATTGTATGTACAATTGTATGTGTTTCTATGAATTGTTTCTTGAAATGTATGTAAAGAGTTTTGAAATTCCCAAGTTTCTCTAGAATCACTTTGGAGGCTCAGAAAAGTCAGTATTTGCTGTCATCTATACTACACTACTTACTTCAGGAGGCATCACTGGAAATCAGGGCAGAGTTCACCCAAAAACAAAAAGTAGAGAAAGCAGGGATGTAGTTAGAAATGGCAACCCTTTCAGAAGCCTTTTTGAGGCCCCAGGGTAGGATAGAGCATCAGTAACAACATCAGGGCCCACGTGGGCTGCCTCCTGATATGTCCGGTTGTTTTCTCCTCCTTGAGAGTTTCTCCTCTCTGGGCCCCATGCTGATGCTTCTTATCAGAGGATGACACAGGGTGCGCATCTGAGCGCTTCTTGGGGAGCACAGGATTGGCCTGCAGAGCAGGACGTGCTGGGACACGGCACTGCCATCTGGGACTGTAGACATTGTCATCCAGGCAGGAGTTGGGGCTTAATTCTTACCTCCGTATTTGCCATGTCTCCTCGGCTAGCTTTAGCCAGAAGTGCCATGTGGAAGAGTTTATTATTTGAAATAATTTTACATGAAATAAATAACTGAACAATACCAAATCATTATATTGTACATTCTAAACTGAAGGTGAGCTTGTTACTCTAGAATTGTTGATCACGGCCTCTCAATGTAGACAGCGAGATGGTCTGTCCTCTGGCCCCTCACTGTGCCGGCAGATCTTCCGTATGATGGAGCTGGGTCGATCTCAGGGCTGCAAGAGGCCAACAGGATTGCGGGCAACGAAATCTGCATTTCCCCCACTCTGTCTGTTTCCTTCTTACAGGGAGATTTGGCGGATTCTTTTTTCATCGTGGAGTCGGGCGAAGTGAAAATCACTATGAAAAGGAAGGTGAGTGTTGGCAAGTCCTAAAAAGCCACGTTGGCCACAGAGCACCAGGTTTCCTTTCTGATGCTCACCCTACGATTAACGGAGTTTTCATGAGCTGAGTCACGGCTTACACTCTTCCTTCCCTTGTCAGGGTAAGTCAGAAGTGGAAGAGAACGGCGCCGTGGAAATCGCTCGCTGTTCTCGGGGTCAGTACTTCGGAGAGCTGGCTCTGGTCACCAACAAACCTCGGGCCGCTTCCGCGCACGCCATCGGGACCGTCAAATGTTTAGGTAAGGGTCACGGGTGGACATGCCTCTCCTTGCAGTCGTGAGACCTGCATTCCATGTGTTCGTGAGCCTGTGCCGACGATCTCACTGGGTCCCCAACTTTTACGGTCCCCACAAAAGAGAACAAGGTCACGATTCATTGCTTTATGGAATCCATTTGTGGGAGCCTTTCGTTTTTTCTTTATGGATCGTCCATCCCTATTTTGTTCTTCTGTACAGGCACGAAAGAACATCTTGTTTTAATAAAGAATTCAGAGTATGAAGCTTTAGGTCTCATCTTTCAAGTAAAGTTTGTGTTTCTCCAAAAAAAAAAAAAAGAAAGCCAGCTAGAACAGTATTTTTATAGCATCCATCCAGGTCTGTGGGCAAAGCCAGAGGGTCTGTGGGAATACTTCCTCATCCTAGTCCCACAAAACGAAGGTTTGGGTTTGTCAAACGCAGGACGGTTTTGTTGTCCAGCTGTTAACGGTAAGTCATCACAAATGCCACCTTCAGCTGGAAGACCTCCCTCTGACCTAGGAGACAGAATTTACTTTAATAGTGAGGAACGGAAGCCAGGAGGAGTCCACGTAGAGGACACTGTAAGAAAATTGATTCCACAGTGATTATCCACTCTGTGTTCTCACGCGCAGTTCTGTAGAATAAACGTAGTGTCCTCAGATCTGCAGGCATCTTCAGAATTAACTCCTTAGAAAGTCACTTTTTGAAAGGCTTTCAGGAAGTATAATAGTAAGTGTTACATTTGGATTAAAGGGGAGGTAGATAGGAACTAATGGGTAATTTTCCTCAGTACAGATAGGAGGAAAAGTAAAAGTAAAGTGAGTGAAACCCCATTAATTTTTTTCTGTAACAGTTATTCACGTTGAAGAAAACCTGAGAAATACAGAAAAGGATAGGAAAAACTAGGAGTCACCCATTCCACCCACCCCCAAATCCTGTTATAATTCCTTCTCATCCTTTTTTTTTATTTGCGGGGGTTTTCTGGTTTTAAGGTTTTGTCAACTGCCTTTTTTCCATTCACTGTAGCTTAATCAGGCACTTGCTCATTTTATTTCTATTTGAACAAATTGTAATGTGTGAGGTAAAGTACACATTGTAAGTCATGCAGGCATTCCCCACTGGCAAATATTTTGGGGGTTTGGGCCCCATATATTGGGGTGTGGGGGAGAGTTTTTGTGTCTGTTTGTGCAGATAATTTTCCCATATATAAGATTTTTCCTTAGGAATGTTCTCAGGATACACTTTCTTTTCATGCCGTTCGAGGTATACTGCCAGCTCTCTCAGTCTGTACTAATTTACATGCTACCATAGTACAATAATGTCCACTTTCTCTGTTCTTGCAAACATTGTCTTTTGTACCTTTGCAGATTTGAGAGGGAAAGAAATATATATATATGTATATGTGTATGTATGTATGTATTTTTTAAATCTGTATTTCTATGGTGGTGTGATATTTTCCACACGTATATTATAAATAGAGTTTTTAAAAGTGCAGGGGACAAGCAGGGAAGGGGACATAAAGCATATACTTAGAAGCAGACAAAAGCACTTGGGCCGCCATTTAGAATTGACTAGACAATAGGATAAAAGAGTAAAACATTACAAAAGGTAACACTGGGTCTTTACAGCATGGCATTGGGAGAACAGTAGAGAAAAAAAAAAATCAAAGAGAAACAGTGGAGGAAAAAAACAAAGGGAAAACAATAGAGAAAAAAAAATCCCTTGCCACCTTTAAGGAGTTCATATTACTGAGGTGGTGACATCAAAACTAATTTATTTTTTAAAATTCCAAGGCCTTGCTATAACAGCCCCTCATTTTTTTCTTACCATAGACCAGGAGCCTCCCAGCCAACCTAGAAATGCACAGATTATCAGAGGAATACTGGCTGTTTACTTTCTGAAGTGGAACATTTTTATCCTTATGCCCTTTCCTTGCATTTGATATATATTTAAAAATGCCATTGCATTATTGATAGCTGCAGAATGGGCATAGTAAATAACTTGGGAATTTTTCAGATTTGCAAAGGATGTTAAATTTGTTTTTCTTTTATTCTCCCCTTTTCTTAGCTATGGATGTGCAGGCGTTTGAAAGGCTTTTGGGACCTTGCATGGAAATTATGAAAAGGAACATTGCCACCTATGAAGAACAATTAGTTGCTCTGTTTGGAACTAACATGGATATTGTTGAACCCACTGCATGAAGCAAAAGTATGGACAAGACCCGTAGTGACAAAATTCCGCAGTAGTGGTTAGTCCACTGAGAATGTGTTTGTGTAGATGCCAAGCATTTTCTGTGATTTCAGGTTTTTTTCCTTTTTTTTACCTTTACAGTGTATCTGTAAACAGAGTAGTGATTTAATACTCAATAGGCTTTACCATCATTTCTAAAGAATAGGTCAAAAGAATACTGACATACTGCTAAGATGACTTTGTACTCCACAAAATTATGATTTGAGTGAAAGGTTCATTCAGATGATTGTAATATACCAAAAGTATCTGTGTGTAAGAAGATAATTAAAGGACACTGCCGTGGGTGATAAGTGTTCGTTTGGACTTCCCGGGGTTGCTGTGTTAGTGACTGTGCCCATGGAAAGGGACCTTGGCAGTGACTCATGCTGGACAGCATGACATCACATTCTTTTTACAACTCACTATATATAGTAAGTACAGTTTTAATCATTTTTGTTTTCTCAAGTTTTTCAGGCTTGATAAGTTATGTGCTGGCCTTGGACTACGGTGAAATGGTAGAAAACATCATATGCAATTTTCAGACCTTTTATATTTTTGCAATAAAGTACATTTTGATGTCTTTGGCATAATGTCAGTAACTTCCATACTCCAGTGGTTTTAAGGATGAGAATGTAGTCATTATGATAATAGGGAAGAGTCTTTGAGATGAGAGATCATTAACACAATTTCCTCATAAAGCATATATCTGCTCCTTTTTTCCATTTTGTAGTTCTCTGTACTCTTTAAAAGTTTGAGTTCAACATTTAATGTCACAAATGGTTTTGTTTTTTTTTTAATGCTACTTAGACTTTTCTTCTAGAAGCTGGAGATCTTACATATGCTGAAAAAAAAAAAGAAAGAAAAAAGAAAAAAAAAGAAAAGGGAAAAAGCGACCTCTCCTATACCAAAAATATTTTGGGGTCCTCATCAACACGCCCACAGGGATATAGCTCTGTTCTTCACTAGGTGTACATAATACGATCCTAGGCAGACCTCTCCCATGGGTTTCCTTTAAAGGTGGTAGGAATAAATTTTTATAAGCAAAACCAGATATAAAGATAAAAGGAATTTCTGCCCCATCCATATGTCCTTGCTATTTGTGTGACTGTAGACTCGAAAGTGCAGGATGGACTTCATACGTTTTCGTTGATAATATGCCTATTATTCTGCTACATGAGATGAATTACATTCAACCAAAGCAGTATTATTCTTAACATGGTTTCTATGTCCATGTGACCCCAGTGTCTGGAGAGGTTAGTTCTAATCAGTTGTTCACTTTTAAATGAACAATTGCATTTTGGGAAACAGGTTTTAAAGAAATATATATACCTGTGTAAAAATAGTCTGTGGCTCTTACAGTGTGATGTTATTAGAGAACGTTTATGGTCTTACATATATAATGAAAATATGGTTTAAAATGTGTTCATCAAATAATGTACATATAAAAAGTATGTAAAGTATAACTTAGCCACATTTTAGAACACCATTTAACAATTTTGCAAACTTTCTTGTAGGAAGGGAGCTTACGACATGAAGATGACTTGTTTTCTATTTCAGATTTTATTTTAAAAGCCAGGTCTGTTAAACAAGAAAAACCACAAAGAACCCCCAGATTCCTAGTTCATCATTCTGTACTCTTTATCCACTTTTTCAAGATACCTTGTTGCATCAGCTGATTGTTAACTATTCATGGAATAGCAAACAAATGCCTGTTTAATAAAGAACTCTGACCAAGGCTGTAAATGCCAGTTACATTATTTTCAGTATTGTTGGTTATATTTAAATTTACCTTATAATAAAGCACACTTTTATAATAAAATGTTTTTAATGTTTTTTTTTTTTGTTTTGTGTTGTGTTGTGCTTCTGTCCTGGGATTTGGATGGTGCATATTATGCCATGTGAGAAGCAGGACAGACAGGGGGTACATGTGAAAGCCATTGCCCCCCCCCACACACACACACAACCCGGACCTAATGCAAGAAAAGAGTATAGTTCTTTATGGCAATAGGGATTTACAGATTTTAACTATTAGTCATATGCGATCTAAACAATCGCAGTGTGCTCTAGACTAGCTTGGCTGTGTAGGTCACCAGAGATGTGTCACTAACTAGGGAATTTACAAGTCGAAGCATCTAATAAAAACATTTGACTCACACTTGACGTGTGGATGTGATGTCATCATTCAGTCACAAACCAAGATTCTTTACTCTTGGGAGATCCTCCATTGAAATTTCATTCAAGGATACGCTCTGTGTAGCTATGAACTATTCTGGAAGAACATTGTAATAACGCAAGTGCTTCTCCTTGTTTCGTATAGTGTGTGTGTGGGGGGGGGTGTTCTGCATGTCACTATGAACTAGGATTTGCCTATGTTGTTACAAACACTATCTGTGACACAAGTTGGGTGAACATGCTTGGATTACTGTTAGAAACTAGCAGACCATTTAAAATGTGTAGAAATTCTGCGAGGGAGGCATGGGACATGAAGTAGAGGACTCTGGGTTTGATTGAAATATGTCTGATTAAATGCTGAGTCCTTTTCCTTTCCAGAGCAATTTTCCTAATTTTCTCTAGCAATGTTACATTTAGAACAAGGAATTTGTGACCTGTGGCATTCTTTTTTAAATTTTTTATTTAAATTCATCAGTCTCATGTAATACCTAGCGTTCATTACATCACATATCCTTCCTAATGTCCATCACCCAGTTACCCCATGCCCCCACCCCACCTCCCCTCCAGCAACCTTCAGTTTGTTTCCTACGATTAAGAGTCTCATGGCTTGCCTCGCTCTGGTTTCATCTTGTTTCATTTTTCCTTTCCCTTCCCCTATGCTCCTCTGTTTTGTTTCTTAAATTCCACATATGAGTGAGGTCATATGATAATTGTCTTTCTCTGATTGACTTATTTGGCTTGGCATAACGCCCTCTCGTTCCATCCGCGTCATTGCAAATGGCACAACCTATAGCATTCTTAAAACCTCATGCCCAGAAGGGTAAGAAATACATCTGGATAAGCCATGGCTTTGTTAAATAACTGAAGAAGCAATTCTATCTGAATAAAATGTTAATACTGAAGGGAGAAATGGAATTGTTCATGCATAAGGGAGAAATAGAATTATCAGGAATTCTGGCTTCTGGAATTAAGAGAGTGTGAAGTGTGGCTTGATGTTGAATATCAGAAAGAATTCTGACCAAAACAAACTGGAATAGGAGTTGAGACAACCTTCCCTGCTCCGGGATATTTTTTAAAGGCAGCAAAACTGGTTGAGCAACTGAAACTATATAGTTGTTAGTCTTACCCCAGGTACTTAAAAAAAAAAAAAAAAAAAAAGAAGACCTTAAAAGTATAGCAAATTATGGAAACATAAACAATAAAGTTTACCAGATATCGGCCGAGGTCTTATGTGCCCAACAATAACGATGGGAGCCTAGATCAGTCCATGTAAGTGAGGAGAGTCGGTGACTGCCCATTTACGTGGTGAGGCCACGGCAGAACTCCCAGGCCACTGATTCTCTTGGTTTCCTGTGCAGTTCTTGATCTCGTATGTTTTCCCATATTGAGCCTATTGAGAAATCTGCATCAAGTACGTGGTGCAGATGGTTAAGACTCCTGAGAGGAAAACTACTTGACCAACAGATCTGCGTCTGTCCCTTTTTATGCCGTAAATTTATAAATCTAAAATTGCCTAAGAAATCCTCAAGGTGCATGTTAACACTTATATTTGGGGAGATGTAATGAGGCATGCTGTGGAAGTAACTGCACCATAAAAATGAAATGACACTTACTAGGTAGGTGGTTGTCCCCAGATTCAACCACAGCCCGAGCCTTGCTACCCTCCCCCTCCCCACCCCCCCAATGTATATATGAAATATTTTGTTAGTATTGATTATGAGATGTTACAGTAAGTAAATGAATTTTTACTCTCAGCTGCAAAGAACAGAGAATGAGTTTTTCTCTAGGGGGCCAGAGAAGGTTTTAGGTGTGAGCCAGAATTGGACTCAAATGACAAAAGCAGCCTTGGCTCCTGACCTCAACAACCCGGAAGCGAACCTCTAAGTGTTTCTTGCTTAACAAGAATGAGCATGTGAGCAGTAAATACGACCAGTCAAAAATCTCGGATAAAGTTGCTTCCAGTCGCTGATTTTCCATCTTTATCCTAATTGAAAACCTACCGAGATCCTGCTGAGGAGCAAGAGAATAAGTGATCTCCCAAGAACTCCTCTGCCTCCTTGAGGCCACGCCTTTACATACGACTATGTTCTTGAAATGCATACAAATGACGTTTTTAGAAGAGATGCTCGCTTTTCCTTGTGATTGCTCCTTAAATTGGCTGAACTTAAATAGCCTCCACATGTTTACTACTACAGCGCATTGTGATAGGCTGTGGAACTTGAAGGAGTGGAAGTGGATTCGAAGAATCTTGTTTGCCTTTGTGTGACGGAGAGGAAGGAAAATAGCACTTAGCCTGTGAGCAGATGAGACCTGTCCTCTTAGATCCATGATAAATGTTCACACATAGAAAGCCCGTGGAAGCTTGTTCATAGTCCGTGTGCAAGAGAGCAAGGGACATGCAGGATAGCACATAACATGCCATACTCATAAGAAAGTTCCTGCGGCCTGTTTCCTGCTCACTTCCTCATATGCTCTGCAGGCACCTACTGACTCTGAGTGCTCAGACAAAAAGATGCATTGGAGATGGTGGCGGGGAAGGAGGAGGTAACATTAGTAAATGCTGGGTGGGGGGCAGCAAATGAAAGCAAAATATTAAGTGTAGCCACAGTGTGATAAGAGCTGTGTGCATATTATTCCTGTGGCTTTAATTGCTTTTTATCAGACTTGTCTCTAAAAGGAGGTTCTTGTGACTGGTAACTAAAAGGAAATACATAAAGAAGAGCCTAAAATAACAAGACACAGGAAAAAATACATAGGAGATTGTGTTAAATGGTTCAGATAACAGGAATGGTCTATTCTAGAAAACTCGCAATGAAAAACCCGAGAACAGTTATTTGAAAGATTTCTGCTTCTTAATTTTATAAAAAGGAAGTAGGATTAAGTTGAATTTTTTTGTTGCCTTCTCTAAATGCTCACGTTTTCATGAGTACCAAATTGGGCAACTTACAAAAACATTTTGAGGGTGATTGAGGCCGCAAAGCATAGTGCCCTCTGAGTCCTGAGGACATCCGGGCTTATTTCTCTCCACTTGGATCTCCTAAATTCTACATAGGTTCAGCTGCTTTTAGGAACTCTGTACCCAAATTTCTTGCTTGCACAGAAAGCTCATGATTTAAAATTGAACCCACCCTTTCCCCTTTTTCCAGTTCCCAAGTCTGTTCTCTCCAGCATTCCCCACCTCAGCAATAACATCGACATACCACCAATACCCACCCACTAGTAATCTCTACACCCGGTGTGGGGCCCGAACCCACAATCCCGAGATCAAGAGTCACATGCTTCACTGACTGAGCCAGCCAGGCGTGCCCCCCCAATTCTTTATTCTTCCCTTTTTTTTTCCCTTTGGCTCTTCCTCCTAAAGGTGATTGTGTTAAGACACCCAACATATCGAAGCAAACTTATGCTCTATGGTCATCTGAGTAAAATTTAAACTCATAGTAGAATCAAGAATTATAAAGTACAACAAACATATTACTCATTTCTAAAATGGCACTCATCATTAGCTCCCAGGCATTCCCTTACAATTTGAATATACTTGAGTACTTGGAATTAATTATAAAATTAAAGTATAGTACATACATGGAAGGATGCCTCTATGATTTTTAAATAATCTACCCAAAGAGAGACTATCTGAAAAGTTGGGGAACTACTTTCAACCATTTCCTAGTTTTAGGAAA